TGTCATAACTTTAATTAATTGTCATTAACTAAACTAAACTTTTAATTCATTATGAAATAAATGTTAAACCACAAGTTGAACTGCTTAATAATGAACAGTGCTAAAAAGAGTGGAGCTAGTTATGCTAGCGCTAGCTAGGCAGGATATTAACTTAACTCAACAAACCACAGAACAGGTCAAACTTTGCCTTTCTGCCACTCCAACCCCAGTCACTCGACTTCACACGCTCAGATCTGAGTCCTTAACCTCTAAACTTGTGTCAGTGGAGCACCAGTGAGCTGGAGTTGTGGTGCGAAAGGTTTTAGACCTGCTAACTAAGCTAATGCTAGCCTTTAATGCTAATGAGGACAGTGTAGTGGAACCAGAGAAGCTTAGCTAACAGCACCACATACTAAAAAGGTTCTGTGCGCCCTCAGATTTGAGTCTTTATCTAAACTTGTGTCAAATTAAGCTTCTGTGAGCCAGAATTGAACGTGTGCTGTGGAGAGTGAAGCTGTAACATGCTAAGCTACTGCTGCCTTCTTCTTGGACAGCTCTTCACACATTCAATTAGATAGTCAAGCGAAATGGGGCAGTAGTTTTCTCTGAGGAGGAACTTGTTCACCCAACATGCGTGTTAATGTGGTTTATGTGAGAAATAAACAGAACACTGAAGTTGTGAAATGGGTGTAGTACTGTAGCCAACAGGCCTCTGTCGGGTTCAGCCTGTTTTACTGGTGTTTTGAACTCATATGGAGCAGAGATGAAATATGGGTTAACTATACATGTTTAAATGAACTTTACCATTACTATTATATTTGAACCGTTTATCTGATTGCTTTCCATTGTTCGACTGCTCCTCCAGCATGATTACAACAACAGTGACGTGAAACTCTTGCTAATGAAACTTTATGCTGCACTGAAAATTTTGATGTACCCAACTTCATCATCCAACTTCAAAGGGTGTTCATGTGGTGGCTCCTGATGGAAAATGGAGACCATTTGAAAGCAGAATTAAATCCATGCCATCATAATTTGATGTCATCATAATTTTAAATACCATCATTTATCATTTTAAGCTACCAGCTGGCTGCACAGTCAAAACATCTCAATTAAGTTACCTATACTTACTGAGCACTTTTATTAGGAACACCTCCTTGTTTCTACACTCATTGTCCATTTTATCAGCTCCACAGACTGTAGTCCATCTGTTTCTCTGCATACTTTGTTAGCCCCCTTTTACCCTGTTCTTCAATTGTCAGGACCCCCACAGGACCACTAAAGAGCAGGTATTATTCGGGTGGTGGATCATTCTCAGCACTGCAGTAACACTGACGTGGTGGTGGTGTGTTGGTGTGTGTTGTGCTGGTACGAGTGGATCAGACACAGCAGTGCTGCTGGAGCTTTTAAACACTGTGTCCACTCACTGTCCACTCTATTAGACACTCCTACCTTGTCGGTCCACCTTGTAGATGTAAAGTCAGAGACGATAGCTCATCTGCTGCTGCACAGTTTGTGTTGGTCATCCTCTAGTCCCCACAGGACACTGTTGGCTGGATATTTTTGGTTCTCAGTCACTGAAGTGTTTAAAACTCCAGCAGCACTGCTGTGTCTGATCCGCTCGTACTAGCGCAACACACCCCCACCACGTCAGTGCCACTGCAGTGCTGAGAATGATCCACCACCCAAATAGTACCTGCTCTGTGGTGGTCCTATGGGGGTCCTGAACATTAAAGAACAGCATAACAAAGTATGCAGAGAAACAGATGGACTACAGTCTGTAACTGTAGAACTACAAAGTGCTCCTATGTGGTAAATAGAGCAGGATGTAGATACTAGGAGGTGTTCCTAATAAAGTGATTGGTGAGTGAATATTTTCTGTTGCTAATTCATAATACTCTCATTTGCATATTTAGCATATTGGACCATTCAGGCTTTTTAGTGATGTCCAAAACTAAGCTGCCACAAATCCATTTTTCTTTCTTTTTTGAGAGACGTACTGAGAAAGTCTGTGTTTCTATTGAGAAAATATGAACTTTATGTGAGCATTATTGGAAACACCCACTGATCTAAAGCCATCCATGAGGAGTTAACCATTTAAAAACCATGATTTTGAGTGTGAGGGGTCTTCAATAACTCTTATAACGTGATATTGTTGATAGTGACAGCCCTAGATGAGACACAAACCAAGACAACCTGTTTCTCAAGAATATTTATTTGTGATTTCCCAGGAAAGTCACATACAGTAATTTCTGAGAGAACTGGAGGCCGGCGTTCAACACGCTCAATAATTAACATCGTTTGTTTTTAACACACTGGCTCACAAATGTGCTCTGAATTCAAGTACGCAGACACTTTGACCTTCGACCACTTTCAGCTGAGGGGAAACAGGAAAGCCACTGGCCTTGGTGTTGACCACGTCCTGTCGGACAAAGAAAAAAAAGCTCCAGCCGCTGTTCTTCTGGCGCTAGACTGCTAAAACGTGGTGGGCGGCCGTGACACAGCGAGCGCACGCTGCTCTTAAAGGTTTGTTTGCTGCTAACAGGGGCAAAGCTTCGAGGAAGAGAGAGAGAAAAGAGGTAGAAAGAGCGCAATAGAGGGAAAGTTCAAGACTACAAAGGTTCTTACATATAGGCATGCTGGAAAACTACACAGACTAATATCAGAGCCGCGTCGAACGAGGAAAGCGAGAGACGAGAGAGATAGATAGAGATCAGATCGCCAAAGCAGACAACTTCTAGCCATACAGAGCATGCTTGCTTAGCTTGATTAAATATGTTTCAGAAAGCGATAACTACCACACAGAGCGATGAAGCCAGCGACAGGGCACTACATTTAAAGCTAAGCTATACATTCTGGCACTAAGACTAACACAGAGCAGCACTAGATAACTGGGGGATTGTAATTCACAAGCTTGGAAAGAAGCAAGGCGTTCATGCACGTGCAAAAAACGAGCAGGCCCAGTGGTAGCAGCAGCAGCAGCAGCAGGGGAAGAAGGGACAACATGGCGGACGCGCCGAGACCCAACGTTGTGGTCTGCTGGGATTTTTTCAAGCTTAAATGCCTGTTTTGTGTCACGGTAAGCTTGCCAGTTCAGAACGAGGACAGACAGAACACATAACCTCAGGAAAATAAGACAAAAATTAGAGTATTGTTTGCCCGAGTCCTATTTTTTGGCGAGGATAAAGGTATAGGTAGCGTCTAGGAGTTTAGCAAATACTTTAAATACTACAAATGCAACTGAATAATAGAAGCAAGTTCCAATATCACACCCGAACTTTCATCCAGAAACAAAGTCTGAAGCGGGGGGACACATTCAGACGAATCACAGTTTCGCAAAACAGATAAAACTATGAACATCCATTGGACAGGTAATCTTACATAGAATCTAAAGTGCACAAACTCCCCTTTGAGGAGAACTAGACAATACTGGCAATAAATACTAAGGCAATACAGTTACAAACGCACAAAAATACAGATTGGCACATAATGTCAAGTATATCACTTGGGCACAAAGACAACCGACTTCGGTTCAGAAATGGCTTTCCATGACTGATGGAATTTCATCATCATTGGAGTCTAAAATACGCTTTTTTTTTCTTGAATTATTCTGATGGTACTTCAAAATGCAGAATGCTTTCGGTTAAATTAAAGCCGGTTCCTTCACACAAATATCTCCGCAGATAAACAAAGTCATCATATACACCAATTTGAGTCGTATACACAAGCAGAATGGATATATATATAATTACAATTATATGTTACTCGAATAGAGAAAATAATATTTTACCGCACAAATAGACTCTTTTATATACAGTACATGGACGTATTCACATAGATATGTACTCAAGAATCTTAAAAGTCTATTTACAAACCATGATCAACAGCCTTACTGTGTCATTTTTTTTTCCATTGGAATTTCTAGATAACACTGGCCCAGAATACTACTGAAAAAAATCACATATGTTAAACTAACTGCTACAAAAGCTGAATTCAATGTATTTTATTCAGCTCAGTTAGTTTGACACCAGTGATTTTACTGTGGAAAGTGCTACTACTACTCAGATGTTCTACTCACTAAATGTAAAAGCGATTTAATTCAGCTTTACACTACAAAAGGATGACTTATAGGAGGATTCTTGATATTCTAATGATGAAACCTTTCCTTTGGACTAAATACAGTAGTGTCCAACCACATTTTCATCCACAGATTCATCGCTATCATTAATTCACCGCTATAGGCTCGAACAGACTCATTCCTCTCAGTAATGATCCTTTATGTGTAGCTATTTGTGAATGAATCACTCAGAGGAACAGGGCACTGCTCCTGCGCTGAGAATGAAATGTTTCATCGCTGAGCTGCTCTGTGCATATTAATATCCAGCAGAAGATTTGAACGAAACGCTCTGCTTTCAGCCTCTCTGCAGTAAACAAAGTCTCTGCTCACTACAGTGAAAAAAGTGATGCACTGAATTTACGTGATTTAAATATGTGCATCATTTTCATATTCATAACATCTGTTACATCACTAGTACTTCCAAAGTAGAAGACCAAACTGGGTTGATGAAATATATTTTGTTCAGGCGGAAATGATGCACACATTTAAAGGAGAACTCCTTGTCTGCATTATTCAGCTACTGAGATGTGAAGTCATTCAGAGTGGTTTGATATGAAATAGTTCACTGTAGAGAAACAGAGCCACTCAGATTTCTTTACAGTGGTGGTGATAGGAACCAGGAATCATAAACATAGCCATTTACTATCTCAAACCACCAGTGGATGTACATGTTATGTTGATAGTGGTAGAATAGTGGAAAGTCTGAAAAATGATGGGCCTCATTCACCAATATCGTCCTACGTTTTTTCTTAAATGCGTTCTTGAGAAAAGCTCTAAGAAAAAGTCTTCTTTAGATTCATGACGTGTTCTTAAAGCGTAGAACTGTTCTCACCTTTGTGCTCGAGTGTGTGTAGATTCTGTTCTTACCCAAAAACAAATCCCAGATAAGTAAACACTGGTGAATATCAGAATCTTCGTGAAAGTGGGTTTTAAGAGGAAATTTCTTCTTAAGAAGGGTTGGTGAATGAGGCCCTATACTTTCTTTTAGGACTAGTTTGCCTGTATGTATCCATTCGGCATGAATGGCTTTTAAAAATGCGTTTTAGATTAACTATCGTAAAAGAACGTGTCAGGGAACAGGCAGTGCATTCATATCCATTTCATGTAGTAACTTTCTGTGAGGGAGCTTTTAGAGGCATTAAACACTTCAGACGCCTGGTTCCTATCACCACCACTGTGAACAGTTCTGACTCTAGAATGGAGTACTTCACATTAAACCATGCTGAATGACTTTGTTCACAATTAAATTATGCTGAAATTTTTTAAATCTTGTGGAATTCCACTTTAAACGAAATATATTCAATGCATCACTTTTTTCACTGTACTGCAGAATTTAGATGTTAAGCCTCACATACTCAAACCTTCCGCAAAGATTTATCTTTGTTAGCGTTTCGGGCCCTGAGGCCTTCATCAGAACCTGCTAACATCTTTTTGCTGTAGATAAAATCCTCCAACTCACCGCTGTAGATAAAAACAGTCTGCTTTCTGCTGTCTGGAAACAGACACTGTCTGCTCGAGATACAGCTTCTTTGCTTTTTTGGCTCTGAATAAAGACTTGCTATCAGCTCTAGATGCAGCACTTCTGCTGTCCACTCTGAAAAGAGCTCCTAGAAACTCTGGATATAACGCCGCTGTCTCTAGACAAAACGTTCACTCACAAGAAAACCAGCATGCAGACTTTGAATCAGCAGACATACAACACTACAGTGCTAAAAGAAAACCGCGTACCCCGTGTATTTCCATAAAAAACGTGAAAGCACTCAAATGCTGCCTGTGATTGTAAAGGCAAGAGTTGAGGTAAGCTAAAGTGCTCTCTCTATTATATATCTATATCAATAAAACCTTCTTATATCTATATTGTGGTGACTGGCACTTAGAATGTCAGGTCAAATAGATTCCATATAAAGTTATATATGACCTATTGCGCAGGACAGGAGCAAATAATTCATCACACTCGCACCAAAACACATGTAGTTATATCAGCTATGCTTACGTAGACAGGAGCGGACATGAACACTTTTACAGGGCTCTTGGACCAAGACGTCCACGACATTGCTACAATACTTAAATATGGGTTATATTCACATAGTCTTCTTTTTCGACATATTCATCTATATTAGATTTTGAAAGAGAGGAAAAAAAAAATAGAAAGAACGAAATTACCGTACATTCACAACAAACATTTCATCCGTCTAGGGACATGTGAACGAGAGTGTGCTGCTGCGAGTCTTACAGGTCCTGTCCGAGACGCTCGATTTCTTCAATGAGGAAGTCGATGTCCTCGAAGGTGGCGGCCGGGTTGGAGATGACCATGCGGAAAAAGTTGACCTTGTCTCCCTGCGGCTGGTAACTCACCATGGTCGTCCCGTACTCCATCATCCTGGCTTTGATCGTAGGAGCCACCTGTGAGAAAAGAAGTTGAAGGAAGAGTTTGATCAAAACTTGTTAGTGTGGCAAACATTGACTGGAAATGATTAGAGACCTATTCACATGATGTCATTTGCATAATGCTAAGGTGTTACTAGACCGTTGCTACGGTATCCCAGGTGGTTGCTAAGGTGTTACTAGGCCATTGCTATGGTATCCCAGGTGGTTGCCAAGCTGTTACTAGGTCATTACTATGGATATATATATATATATATATATATATATATATATATATATATATATATATATATATATATATATGTGTGTGTGTGTGTGTGTGTGTGCGTGTGTATATATATATATATATATCAAAAAGTATGTGGACACCTTTACATCGCAACTATGTGTGTGAGTAACTATGTGAGTTGAAGCTCACTTTGTGCACCAGGGCTCAGTCATACTGGAACAGAAAAGGGTTTTCCCAAACTGCTGCCACAAAGTCAGAAGCATAATATTGTCTGAAATGTCTTTATATGTTGTAGCATTAACTTCACCTTTCACTGGCACTAAGGGGCCCAAACCCTGAAAAACAGCCCCAGCCCATTATCCCCCCTCCACCAAACTTTACTGTTGGAACTATGCATTCTGACAGGTAGCATTCTCCTGGTATCCATCAAATCTGGATTTATCCATCAGGCTGCCAAATAGTGAAGCGCAGTAAACCACAAAAACATGATTACACTGCTCCTGAGTCTAGTGGCAGCGTGCTTTATGATTAACACCCACCCCCCCACACGCTTGGCACTGTGCTTAGTGATCTTAGGCTTGTGTGCAGCAGCTCTGCTATGGAAACCCATTTCAGGAAGCTCCCAACACACAGTTCTTTTGCTGATGTTGCTTCCAGAGGCAGTTTGAAACTCGTTAGTGAGTGATTCAGCAGAGGATAGACACTGTGCGCTTCAGCACTCAGGGGCCAACTTTGTGAGTTTGTGTGGTCTACCACTTCATAGCTGAGCTGTTGTTGTTCCCAGACACTTCTGTTTCACAATAATAGCACTTATAGTTGACAGGGGCAGATCTAGCAAGAGAGAAATTTCACAAACTGGCTTGGTGGCAAAGGTGGCATCCTATGACAGTGTCATGTTTAAAGTCGCTGAGCCCATCAGTATGACCCTCTACTGCCAGTGTTTGTCTATGGAGACTGCATGGCTGCGTGCATGAGGTTATACGTCTGTTAGCCATGGGTGTGGCTGAAACACATGAACTCAATAATTAGGAGGAGTGTCCATATAGTTTTGGTTATACAGTGTATATATGCTAGTCTGTATGTAATGTATACGAAGGCAGTGTGAGAGATGTGCTTTGCTTCATTAACATTACATTACATTACATAACATAAATGGCTCTATTTGTGTTGTAGACATCATGACCCCTGGTTCCTATCAGCACTACTGTAAAGAAATCAGTCTGTATGTTGCTCTACAATGAACCATTTCACACCAAACCACTCTGAATGACATCTCCAACACTGATTTATGCAGAGGTTATGAGAAAGAATTTAACAGTGTCTAACAAAGTACAACAAATTCATTTTAAAAATGAAAGAAAAACTTGTTTTCCATTATATCTGTACTGTAAGTTGTATTTGCCACTGATAGGGAAAGTTCTGCTTATTTCCCCCTTCAGTATATGATGGTGATGGTGATGTATGATGATGCTGACTTTATTGATTTCAGGCTGCAGGCTCTTTCTAGGTGCACTGCCCCTCTGGTGTGGCTGGAAACCTGCCGATTACTGGCAGGGACAGCGAGGGAGATGACTAAATTCAGCAGCTGCAGGGCTGACAAGCGCTGTAGCCGCAGAGTAAAGAAGTGATTTAGCAATGAACTGGTGAAAGCAATTTATTCTGTACTGAATTTATTCCATCTCATACTTTTCATGTCACTGCTGCGGCAGGAAGGCCTCCATTTCTGACAGTTTTTTAAGCATTTTAGAGCTTTTGCATTTCACAAAATGAATTCCGACTGTCCTGTTTGTGCACCCTGGGCTTTAAAACTCTGAGACATTAAAAACTATGTTCTCCTGTCTTGAAAAGCTGCTGTTGTTTTTTCCTTTTGACAGCAAACACAAATGTGCTTCTGCCTTTCATATGAGACTCTACTGCAATCCCAGTGTCCCATTTTCCCTGAGTGCTCAACCATTTAACAACCTATTGTTACACTGTAGTGACAAAATTATTATCCTGTTAGAGCAAAAACACACCTAATGCTTTTAAATTCCATTCAATCTCAGCAGATTTGTTGTCCTTTGGTGCTCTAAAGAAGCAGACAATTTCCTGTGCGGTACTCTCTGGGTTAGATGAGATTATTAAGCATTTTGAAAATGACCTCTCCCTTTCTGCCACCACTGTATTTCAATTGTAGCAACTATCACGTTTCATTGTTAAACAAAGCACCGAGTTACAGACTGAAGACTACAAGTCAATAGGTGTCAAATTTAAACCCGATCGTTTTTTTTTAAAACTAAAATATGGCCACTGTCTGAAAAAAAAACCTTGTCTCCATTTTTGTTGTTTTCTTTTATATAATAATTTAAGATTGCTAAATCCTCTTTAAATTACATGTAAATTTCATAATAAATGAAAAAGTACAAAATTACTTTCAAAAAAGTATTGTTACATTAACTTCTATTAAAAGTAAAAGACTTTTTTGCTTCTCCTGTAAAGTTATAATAAATTAATCAATAATTGTTGATTTGCAATGATACGTGAATCTTTTATATGTCAAGTTTTAATACTTCTTTTTAAGCGGTCAGAATAACAGTATTACTATGGTCAGTTTAGCCCTTGCAGCGCCCCCTCTGGTTCAACTCTGCTTTAGGCTGGCATATCTAGCTACTTTTCCATCCACTTATTTATTGACATTTCGGAAAACGCTTGTACAATCGCTTGAGGTGGACACATATGACTGATCAAATGTTTCCGTTTGTGCCTGACCACAGCTACAGAAGGCAGCAGGTGTCAGTGGACAGACAAAGAAATTAAAACGTGCATTAGTACATTAAAACATAAAGCTTACATGGCAAACAAATTAACGGTGCCTGTTGCTGATTAATGGTCATTTTTCCAGGGCCGTTCCTGTTTTACATGAGTCTCCAACTGATCTAAAACTGAGCCATGAAAGTGAACTATGCAGCAAACAGAAGCTGCCTACCAAAGATTTCTCTGTAGGTCTAGTCCACGTTCCTCAGAAGTGTTTTTATGAATGTGACATACACACTTAAAAATGGTGGTTCTTCAAGGGTTCTTTAGTGAAGAAAATGGTTCTAAATAGAACCATGAACATTCAAAGAACGCTTTGCATGATTAAAGTGTTCTTTGCGTCATGTTTTTCAGATTGATGGAGAATGTGCTGGTGTCAAGACTGTAACAATAGAAGAACGCTTTCTGGTGCTTTACAGAACCCTTTTCAAAAAGGTTCCATAAAGAACCATATAAAACACAATCTCCATCAATCTGAAGAGCACTTTCATGAGGCAAAGAACCATTTAATCATGCAAATGGACCTTTGAGTGTTCAAGGTTCTACATAGAACTATTGTTTTCACTAAAGAACCCTTGAAGAACCATCATTTTTAAGGGTGTAGCAAGTTTTATTCTCTGATGAAAATGATTCATTTCAGTTGTTTGCTTGAATGTAATTCGACAGCTGGAATAAAAACCTTCCGATAAGAGACTTTAATTTGCATGATTAAAGGGTTCTTTGCATTGTAAAATTGTTCTTCAGATTGATGAAGAATGTGTTGCAGATGGTTCTATGTAGAACCTTTTTGAAAGTGGTTCTATATAGCATCAAAAAGGGTTCTTCTATTGTTACAAGCTTTACATCGTAGCAATAGAAGAACCCTTTTGGGTGCTATATAGAACTGCTTTCAAAAAGGTTCTACATAGAACCATCTATAGCTCATTCTCCATCAATCTGAAGAACAATTTCATGATGCAAAGAACCCATTAATCATGCAAAGGGCTCTTTGAGTGTTCAGATCAATTTTCTTTACTACAGAACCCTTGAAGACCCATCTTTTTTAAGAGTGTATGAAAACACACACAAACATCATCTTAACCGCTTATCCTTCAGGGTTGCGGCAGGGTGCTGGAGCCTATCCCAGCTGTCATTGGGCGGAAGGCAGGATTGTATGAAAACACAAAAACAAAAATCTACTTTCACTTCACCTGAGCCACTGTAAGGCCCAATCCCATTTCACCCCTCGACCCTACCACTGAGCCCTTAGCCCTCTGTTTTACGCGTTCACGTCTACGGGTAGTGTGTCTCAATTTTTGTTGAAAAAAGAGGGGTAGGGCCAAGTGTTGGGGCTACATGGCCCTCCAAACGGAGGTTTTTCAGAGACACTCCAAACAGAGGGTTACGAGAAAAATAGGAAAACCGGCAAGATGGCTGAACAAGCAACCAAAGAAACCCACAAATATGAGAATTTTCTAGTTAAAAAATTATGATAACCACTGTATTATCTTAGTTTAACGTCATTTCAATGTATTATGGTCGTTTTCTTCATAACAAGCATAAACATCGCTAACAGTATGCTAATGTCTCGGTAGCTAGCTAGCTAACTTTCCCGTTCCACCTTAAATAGTCCAGGAGTTCTGATGCCTGAAGCGCCAGAATGTAACTGCTGCACCATTTAAAGTGGAACAGGAAAATTCAAACAAGAAACTGGTGAATATCTGACTTCAGCTTCATATCACCAAAGAATTAATGGTGGGCAATAATAAATAATTGTCTTATACCCCCTCTTTGAAGGCATATGATCCTAAATGTAACTAAAGCCCAGCAGTGAGGAGCTGAACTTCACCCTCCTCTGCTGTCACTGCAGACTGGCAGGGTCGCCTACAGAGCAGTGCTGGTAGCTGTTAATGAAGTAATGCTCTTTTTATTTGAGGGTCCCATTTCATAGGGAAGATTTCAACCACTACCCCTTGCAACTCAGTTCCAAGGGGTTAGGGTGACACTCGAAAACAAG